GAGTTTACATTAATTCACAGACAGGTTTGTATTGAAATTAGTAACGAGTGATCTAGACTATTACATCATCTGTCTACTTCTTCAATAACATTTTTTTGTCTTAGACATCCTAGACTTGATGTTCTTCAAAAAGGTTCTCCACTTAATTTTTCTACAAAATTGTACAAAATCTCTCCTTGTACAATATAGGGAAGAAAAATTAGATAGAAAATTTTACGAAGGTTCACAGTCGTTAAATTTCAAACGTATTATTTCAAAATGGTTTTGATTTTTTGTTAAACAACTGTGTAGGCATCAAAAAATGCTGAAGAAAGTTTTTTTACAAAGTTATAAAATTTACAAGAAAAGCCCTAAATGTTCATTGTCCGCCTAAAGCTACAGAAAGAAAAAGGAAAAATGAATTTAGGGCTTTTCTTGTAAATTCTATAACTTTGCAAAGAAAGGTCATGTAGAGGTGGAAGATGTCTCATTTTGATCATAATTTCGTAGACTACAATCATGATCTATTAAGAGAAAGTTTTAGGGACTTTTCGAGGTTTCTGGAAAACTGAGTTTTCTAGAAAAGCGCTCTAGGAAGGTCTAGCGATCCGTCTCATACAGATATTCCGAATCAGCGTGTTCGATAACCTATAACCCACTAGGTTTCGACCCGAAAGCGATTAGACAGTTGGAAAAGGTCCCTCGTAAGTCATATGACAATAAGATTGACTTCTTTAAACTAAATCAGAAACAGCTAAAATTGGGTCGTTTGCACTCACCGTGTGCGAAAAAAATTATTCAAAATTTTATTGTAGAAAGAATATCAAAGATTCATTATTTCCCTCCAAATCTAAAAGTAATAATTTTTGGTAAAGTTATACAAATTTTACGAAATGACTCGATAAGACCAATCCGACAAGCGTCGATTGTGAGAAAATGCAATCATTGATGTGAGACAGAACTTTTCAAACGCTACAGATCGACTATTTAATTTATTTTATATTATCGCTTACTAACTAGTAAAAGCTGAAAATCTGACTTATTTTTATATCTGATAGTTATCCGTCTCTAAGGTTTACCGAATTTTCCATTTTTTTTCTTTATATTGTACAATGAGAGAATTTTTTAAAGAATATCAAGTCTAACCTCTGACAGATAAAAAAGCGTTATGTAAGAAGTACATTGAAATAGGTTGGGCAACCTGTTGTTAAATATTTAGAAAAAAATAGATAAACTCTAATATTTGTTTAATATTACAATAGGTACATTAATGTTGAACATATCAAAATTTGATTATAATCTGTATTATTTGAGTTCATCATCAAATTATGATTCAGATTTTGATTTTTACGTATCAGTTATGGATCGTGCTTATCAATTACAATATTCACAAATTCGTCTTATTAATGAAAACTTCGTTGATCGAACATTAAAACCATTATTTGAATCTTACACGTTTTATTCTACTCTACAAACACCAGTCGAATTAAATACTCGTATATTTAATTTACAAATTGTTGATTATTATGATCGTTTAATATTACCATCAAAATTTGAATTTGTTAATAAAAGTTCAGTATATCTATTTACAATTCAAAATAATGATATTGTTACATTAAAAACATTCTCACATGTTCGATATCCACAACAATATGAATTATTTATTAAAGCATTATCAACAAATTATACGACCAGTACACGAATTATTGTAACAATATTACCAGATAATGAACAAAAAATACGTTTTATTAAAAATCAATATGAATTTAGAATGAATGAAAATGAACATGATGGTTAGTTTTAGTTGTTATTTCTTTTTTATTTTATAAATTTTATTAACAATATTTTCTTTTCTTGTTTTCTATTCTAGGTTTTCATATTGGTACAAGTTGTTTAGAAGAATCTTCTTCTAATGTTGAATATTCTTTAGTATCAACACCATTGACAAAACAATCGTGTATTCGACATATTCAATTATCAAAATGTCAATTCTATTTAAAAGATAAATTTTCAAATAATCTTGATTTATGTCAGTTTGAAATTCATGCACAAAAACAATTAACAGAAAATATAACATTAATAACTTCAGCCAAAGTGAAAATATATATTGATGATATTAATAATAATAAACCGAGATTTTCAAAAGATATTTATAAAATATATGTAATGAAAAAAAAACTATTAGATAATGATGATCTGTTATTATTACGAGTATTTTCCATTGATCATGATACTGGTCTAAATGGCTACGTTCAATATCAAATAGAGCAAAATCCATTTATCGAGATAAATGAGACAAATGGATGGATATCGATTAAAAAGAATCGTGTCAAAGATCGATCTATGATAGAACATAAGAACTATTTACTATTGAAGTTGTATGCACAAGATTCTGGTTTACCATCATTAAATACCACTGGTCTACTGAATATTACATTCGATAATTATGATAATAACCATGTGAATAAAAGTAGTCTAGCATTTTGTTCCAATCGACAAATCGTGAATATATCCGATCAAAGTTTACCGGGTAAGTTTAGTATTGTGGATGAATTTCATGAAGCTCGTACCATTTTATACATGACTTTTGTGGTTCGATTTAGAATCAAATAAAAGATTCAGACATGAGATCAGAAAATATTACATTGAGATCTTGATATCTTAGTTGGTTCTTTATCGACATTTTCGATATTTCACATTGAGAGGACCGAAGAGTCATTAATTTTTCTGACACAAAGTAGCCAAATGAAACTATATGGCATACTAAGTAAGAATGCGGGACTTTCATGGCTTTCTCAATTGCTTTGTATATATATTGAAACATTTTTCGGAAAGTGGGTTAGAAAACGCTGTTGAATTAGCAAAATGGAAGAAAAATTCAAATCTAAATAGTGCATTAGACGCATCGTTCTATGCTTTATCTATCCCATGAGGTGAAATTCTGATCCACTGTCGGGATTTCAAGAAAGTGTGACATTATGAGATTTTGTCTATCCTAAGAGCCAGCCATTGATCCAGACAGATGTTGAAGAGACTTTCACAGTGTTTGTGGTGCAAAAAAAAATTTGAAAATCTTCAAAATTTGGATTGTCGTAGAAAAACGAAGCCATAGCTGCGAAAAATACAAAAGTTTTTTCATCTAAACAGCCTACATATCATTGGATATACCATAGAACGATGAGTCTAATGCACTATTTAGATTTGAATTTTTCTTCCATTTTGATAATTGAATATGTCGAATACACGATTGTTTTGTCAATGGTGTTGATACTAAAGAATATTCAAC